GGCTTTGGTGGAGAGATGGTGGGACACCACCAACTCCTTTCATTTCTCTGCCACTGGGGACATGACTATGACCCCTCTGGATTTTGCTGTGTTGACCGGCCTGGACATAGGAGGTTGGTCCATTCCTTATGACGAGGACATGGGCGAATGGGAGGCCGCTTGGATACATCTGCTGGGGGCCCGCCCGCCTGTCGACAGAGCTTCCGGGAGAGTCCGATATACCTGGTTCTCTTCCCATTTCCGGCGGGCGGAGATGGAGCCCGGGACTCCTGAGGAGACAGAGCAGTATGCCCGTGGTTTCCTTATGTTCCTCTTCGGGACTACTCTGTTTGCCGATAGAGGGAACACGGTCGGGCTATATCTGTTGAGCGTTCTGGTTGACCTATCACAGGTCAGTCGATATGACTGGGGTGGCGCCGGCCTGGCTACCCTTTACTGCTATATGAACGCGACCTCCCGCGAGCAGGGAGATTTACTTGGCGGTTATTGGAGAGCCTGGGAGGTACTTTCTGTCCTCTTGATTTACATTTCTGCTCCTCATTACTTGTACATTGCACACACAGCGCACTTTACAGTCTGTATTTTGCTCTCAGCACTTTGTACTTACATTCTGCACTGCTTTTCTCAGTTATGGGTCTACGCATACTTCCCGACGTTAGGCCCAGAGTTGGAGGTGGCAGGGGTTCTCATGACCCCGTATTCACTGGTGTTCGAGGGCCCGCACCGGCTGAGACCCCGAGAGACTCTCATTTATCTGCGACAGTATTTTGACACTGTGCGGCCGTTGGAGGTATTTCAGAACCCTCAGTTCTTTCCATTTTCATCTCTGATTTGCCTCGCATATTCTTGATTTTTGATTGGTTTATGCACTTGTTTTCCGCAGATTACATGGCAGCCCTGGGCGCCCTTGGGTGATGGTCTCTGATTTCAGTATGCCGGAGGATCGGGCACCTCCTAGTACAGGGTCCTGCTCGAGGGACCGGTTGGCAGGGCATGGTTTCTGGGGGAGCGCTTTCTGCGTCAAGTGTGGGGTTACAATTCTCAGGACCCTCCCACAGCACCCCCAGTCAGTATGCGGACTGCTGATAGGCTCTCTCACCAGGAGGTAGTCGGCGGTATACTGGGTAGTGATGCCTTGCTACATCTCAAGGAAGGGGATTACGCCACCTACCGTCATACATATTTGATGCCTCCATTGACGGGAGTTCATACCCCGATGACGAGGTCTGCTGGTACGTCCTTTTCGAGCCAGGCCCGAGCTCGGGCTGCAGACGCCCCTTCCGCCAGCAGGGCTGGTACATCTAGAGGTGGGGGTAGACCGGTTCCCCCGATTCCTCCGACTTATTATCATCCTAAATGGCCAGACATGCCGACTGAGCTGATGGGGTGGCAGTATGGGGCCGCCTCTCCGACTCCGATCCCGTTAGAGCCTCCGATGCCCGGTGATCGATACGCCATTGATCCCGACTCACCACTGGTATGCTCCACTATTTTTCATTCATCATTCAAACATTTAGACATTCCTTTATTTACTGATGATTATGAGCTCCTATTTGCAGCCACCCTGAGAGTACGTGGAGGAGGTGGTCGGATTGGTGGCTGTAACAACCCTCATCACTGATCACTGATTGACCATTGATTACTGATACTGTCACTGATTACTGCTAAACTGAGACTGACTGAATTCTGAAACTGATCGATCGACGGTATCTGTTTAAATGCATGTCTATCTGTTTGACTGTTGAACTATCTGTTCATGTTTTAATGTTTAAATTGCGAATTGAAGGCCTTATCGGCGGCCGAATCGGAAACCAATTAGTGTTTTATGATCCTCATAATTAATGTGATTTTACGGTGTATTTATCTGAAAACTGATTAGGTATGATTAAAGTAGATCAAACGAGCCAATTCCATAGTTTGACTTATTTACTAACTTGCCACTCTAGTGGCCCACTACATGATCAACCTTTGAGCCCTAGTATACACTTAAGTACACATTTGCTCAGCTCATTCCTTGCCTTTGCCGACTAGAGAGAGAGAGCTAAGGGAGAGAGTTGGATTTCATCTCATTTTGCTTGGTCTTGCTTGGAAATTAAGGGGATTGAAGTATAGATTGCTATTTTGAGCTTATAGTCTTGCATTGAAGACCTAAGGTAGAATAACTACTCTCTTGTTCTTGAATATTAAGTGATTCATGCATGGTTCATGTCTAATTGAGGAGCTAAGTCATAATTTAGTTCTAACATGTTGAATTGAAGCTCATTCCATGCATGCATGTTTGTATTGTAGATGTTTGAGTTGTTTTCATGGCAAAATGTTACATGCATGTTCACAATTATGTTTAAGACCATGAACTCATCATGTTTTGAAAAGAATTGGCTCTTTTGGGCTAGTATTTGAAGCTTTGAATTGGTTTGAATTCATGCATGTTTGCATGTTCTCCATGTTCATGAAATTGGTTTGAAATTGGGTTTGAATTAAACACCCTTGGGCTTTGATTTCTCAAATTGAGTTTTGAGTCATGTTTAACTATGAGTTTGTAAGTGTTTTCTGGAAATTCAGCCCAAGAGGATCGGTTTTGATGCATTTAAACTTGAGTTTGAGCTTGGAGGTGCAATCTGGGTTTTCCAGATTTTGCACTCCCGCTCGAGCGGGGAAATGGGCGCTCGAGCAGAGAATCCGAGCATCCAGTATTTCTCTGCACTGTTTTACAGTCCACTCGAGCGGAGGATTGGGCGCTTGAGCGGAGTCGTGTGTCTCCAGCTCGAGCGGGCGTCGAGCGGAGATTTCACCCATCCAGTACTTTTACAGTACGCTCGAGCGGAACATTTGTACGCTCGAGCGTGTAACCTTGTTGCATGTCCGCTCGAGCAGGGAAACCTGCGCTCGAGCGGGACTCTGTTTTCTGAAAATTCTGAAAATGCTTTTAAAAAAGTGCATCTTTGCATCCTCATCCCATTCTAGGCATTTTTAGGCCTAGTTTAAGACATCTTATTGAGGATATAGATGTAGAACACACCGAGGCAATTAGGGGTTAAGTTATTATCTTTCCCAACTGTGTAGCTTAGTGTGTGTTCGATCTATTGACTGTGTAGGGTTGACTTCCGAGGAGACGCTCTAGCTTACTATAGCCCAGAACTCTGTGAGTAACATCTGTGTAAAGATATGTTCAAAATGATTATCTTCTGAACAATTAAACTGTACTGCTTTCTGAACTGATTACTGTTAACTGAATGAATGTATATCCTATATTCTGAACTGTATTGTGGCATCCTTAGCACCTACTGTTTACTGTTGCTGTTACAGAGATCTCTGTCAGTTCCCATGTTGGAACCACTACTGTTCACTGACATAATGGCCATCATTCACTGTTTGGTCTATTAAGACCCGGTCTGTTAAGACCTACTGTACTGTTTAGCTATTGGATGTACCACATATGACTGTTATAATCTGTGAAACTTGGAGCAAAGTGCTGCACGGAACTAAGTGCTACAGAGTGAGCCACCTCTAGAGTCTGTGCGAGACACCTCTTGAGTCCATAAGAACTGTACTATTTTCTGAAATGCTACTGTTACTGTTACTGTTACTGTACTGCTACTGTACTGTTACTGTTACTGCTACTGCTACTGTACTACTACTGTACTGTACTGTTACTGCTACTGTACTGTTACTGTTACTGTTACTGTACTGCTACTGTACTGTTACTGTTACTGTTACTGCTACTGTACTGTACTGTTACTGCTACTGTACTGTTACTGCTACTGTACTGCTACTGTAATGTTACTGTTACTGTTACTGCTACTGTACTGCTACAGTACTGTTACTGCTACTGTACTGCTACAGTACTGTTACTATATTGTTACCATTACTGCTACTGTACTGACACTGCTACTAGTACTGCTAACGGATATGCCACGTACGATTACTATGATTTCTAAATGGCTGTTACGGCATCAATATGAGCCACAAACTGACTGACCGATATACTGAATCAATGAACTATTTTAAATATTGAAAAGACATTCATCCTAAACCCTCTTTACGTATTATGTTATTCACTGGGTTTTAGCTCACTGCTCATATATATATGTAGGTGTTCAGGCACCGGACCGATGCTAGGAGCGTCAGGCAAGCTTTTGTTTTGTTAGCCAACCACTGTGCCTCACTGTGAGGTTCTAAGCCGTTCAAGCTTCGACTTTGGGGTGCTTTAATATTCCCCGTCTGTCCCTGTAACTGTTTTGTTTACTATATAGACTGTATAGACTGTTACTGTACTGTTTAATAGGGATTAGATCCCTGTTCTGAATGATTGTATAAGTATGTGTAGACTGTCACAGCTCATTGGACATTGCTTATTTACTGTATTGGCTTCCGCCAGGCCCTGTACTCTGTTTTACTGGATTACTGTTAGGCAGGCCTTTGGTAATCTCGGATTACTGGCCGGTTACGGTGCTAAATCCATAGGGCCGGGTTTGGGTCGTGACAGTGGCCTCACTCGAGGGCATGGTCCTGCGGAGGGAGGCACAGTTGTCTATCGCGGGCATTCAGGTACCCTTCAGTTTTCTGGCATTTATCATACTTCTGATGACATGCTGATTTCTACTGCATCGATAGGCTACTTGCGTAGAGCACATCTGACACACACCCCACTTGTGCACTGTGTTTACATGTACTCATTTCATGTAGTTTCTGCTTGTATCTGCATCTGATGTACATATTTGGACTGATGTATTTGAATTGAACCCTTTATTTTCAGATGCCCCCGATGTACACTCAGCCGCCGGCCAGGCCACCTGGGCCTCCTTGGGGAGCCGGGCCATCTGGGCCCTTTCACAGAGCCGGGCCATCTGGGCCCTTTCACAGAGCTGGGCCATCCAGGCCTTTTCACGGGGCTGGGCCATCCAGGCCTTCTCAGGGAACTAGGCCATCCAGGCCTTTCCGAGGAGCTCGAGGAGGGTCCTCCCGCAGACGCAGGGCACATGTCGTAGAGGCGGAGCCTGATGAGGAGGAGGAGGAGGAGGCCACAGACCGTCAGTCAGAGACATCTGCTGAGGAGGGGGACTCCAGTCTTGGTTCCAGGAGTGGAGACGAGGCTGAAGGGGATCCAGAGGACGACAGCTCCGGCCCGGATGATGATGGTGATGCAGAGGTTGTCCCGCAGAAAAGGACGAGGAGGGCCTCTTATTCCCGCTCCTGAGAGCACACACGCGTCTGTTTCCTGTTTTACTTATCTTTTTGCTTAGTAGTTGTAGCACATTTGTACATTTACCAGGCAGTTTATTTTTGCTGTAAAACTTGTGCCTTAGTCTGTAAAATGTTGTAACAAGCGAAGCATGATGGGATGAAACAGCTTTTGAAAAAAGTATTGTATTTTTAAACACTTAGCATCATATCGCATCATTTTGCACCAAAATGAGATTGAATGGAAGCGTGTATTGTGCATTTTGCCCAGTCAGGTAGTGAACCGACGCAACAACCTAATTTTCTAAGATACAACAAAAATCTTAGCAAGTTTACAACTCAATAAGCAAAATACAATAGTTTTGACAATGCAAATAAACAAGACTTAAACAAAGATCGCTTAAACAGAGAGCAACGACTCAAAACACGAAACACGATAGCTCGACAAACAACTCGATAAGCAAAACGACAACTCGATAATCAAAACAACAACTCGATAAACAAAACTTAACAACGCAAAGTGTACTCCGGACGATCTGGGCAACGGAACGCATCCGAAATAGAGGAAAATGAAGGCCTTTGACTCTCCTATTGCATGGAAATGCTCAAAACTTTCCCTCGGAGGGTAAAACAGGACCAAGGACATACACTGGAGCATGGCCGGCCAGTTTTATGGAGGGGGGAGGTGGCCGGCTGATTTTCAAAAAGCAAATGGCCGGCCAGCCAGAAAAGGTGGCCGGCCGGCCACTTATTCCTGCAGCCTTCCAGTTTTTGACACGTGTCCCCCTGAATAGTGTTTTTCCCTCTTTAAAAGCCCCAGCTCCATGATTCATTCAATCACCTCAGTTTTGCATCAGAAATGGAAGCGTTTCTTGTTGAAAACCTCACTGCTTGGATCGCTTCTCTAGATGGTTCTGAAAAGCTGAACTTCCGGGGTTTCGGTTTGAATGCACTATTCACGCTGAGTTGCACTCCGTTGCACCTTCCTTTCCTCCATGCCGCGGCGAGGTTTTGGAACCCGGTGACGCACGTCTTCAGCTTTGGCGGGCAAGAGGTATGTCCGACTTTTGAAGATTTTCATATTTTGATGGAATCTGAAGGCCTTGAAGAGATCTTGCCCCAGATTCGCTTCGGTCATGCCCAGGCTTTGGGGCGGATGTGCGGACTCACCGCTCATGATGCTCGATCTCTGATCTGTAATGGGGAACTGGATATCCTTGGTTTGATCCATCGCTTTTCTGACGCCGGTGACCGCAACAACCATTATTGGCAAGGTTTCCTGCAACACGCCCTTTGCTTGTGCTTGTTGTTTCATTTTCTGCTTTCCTCGGGCTTCGGCGGAGCTAGCATTCGCCTGGTCGAAGTTACCCAAGGCTTGAGGGAAGGAAAGAGTTGCATTTCCATGACCTTGGCTGAGACGTTGATGGGCTTGGATGCTTTTCATCGCCGGGAGACAACTAGATTTGCCGGGAGTCCACTGCTGCTGCAGGTAATGTTTCCCACCCAATCTTACATATGTATTTGCTCACATCACTCGGCCCTCAGGCTCGATTTTTCTCACAAAATCCTTGTCTTACTTTTCTCTCATCATACATCTCTATGTTCTTTACTCTCTCACTTTTCATCCCTCCCCAGGTATGGTTAATGGACAAATTACAGGTCGTGGACTCTTGCCCGGCCTACTCAGCTAGAGGCTATTTCTTTCGACAGCACCTAGTCAATGCCCTTGATGAAAGGTGGTGGTTTGACTAGATGTGCAATTTGTCTGCAGATCGCATTGCTTGGCGTTGTCCTTGGCTCAATCTCCCGGCAATGAGCTATAGCATGTCCCGACTGATTGGGATCCAGTTGGTTGGTCTCACCCACTGTGTATTTTACTTCCCGTTCCGGTTCCTACGCCAGTTCGGTCATGATCAGATTTGCCCACCAGAGGGGATTGAGTACCCGGCTGCTTTCCCGGTCCGAGGTGCACAACTTGCCCGATATGCCACAGCATGGAGGACTAGAGAGCTCCTGGCCCCTGCTCCATCTTTCAATTGCGCTTTGTCTGACGAGTGCTTAGATTGGCTCAACGAGGAGGCACAGGTTGGGCCTAGCTTGGCCTCAGAGGCTTCGACCAGCTCTGGAAGGGGGCGTAGGGATGCCTGACTCGACTATGCCCCAGATTTATTGCTTTACTAGTACTTTCAAGTTTTCTTTATGAATGTAATAAAAAAACAGCTTCGATTGTATACAAGAGTAGGAGAACTTTGTTTTGAAATCAATGAAATTGAAAGTTGTGGTACTGAAAATTTTCCGCTTTGGTCCAAAAATGGTCCAAGTTGTAAAAAGATTAATTTGGACAAAGTCAAATTTTACTAAAACTTTTCAAAATCATTTTCGATATAGATCAGAAGTGGACACGCCTAAGATCTGTCACTGAGATGCACAACCCCAGATCCCCGCAACTGGAAAGTTGCCCCTAGTTTGAAGAGTACCACGGCACCGCATGGCAACGGAAAGTTACCCCTAGTCTGAATGACGCTGCACCGTCGTGGCAACGGAAAGTTGCCCCTAGTCTGAATAGCACTGTATCGGAGATCATGATAAATGCTGATGGATAAAGATGACTGAGATGGTCAAAATGGACAAAGTTGATCGGGGAAAAGTTTGTGGCTGAACTTCAAGGCGAAGCTGCCTACGTATCCCAAAGATGGGAATCAAGCCTTACGTAGTTCAGGCTTAGGTTCGCTCGGGTATTTTCATTCTCCTTTTACGCTCTAATTTTTGCCGAGGTCGCCCTTTGCGAGTTTTCAACCTTGCGAGCTCAGTTTTTATATTTTCTAATTTTTTGTGCTCTAACTTTTGCCTAGGTCGCCCTTTCGGGTTTTCGGCCTAGCGAGCCTCTCAAGGATAATATTTCTTCAACTTGTCCATATTGATCGGTTGAGAGAATTCTAAGCCATCTAAGTCCATCAGAACCACAGC